TCAACCAAGAGGTCAGAAAATTGTCAGCGGAGTAAGAAATGTTTGATAAGGTTTATTTAGATGCTAACAGCATTAAAAAAATAAATTAGGCAAACAGTGGTGAACAATTCTTAAGCTTTCTAGGGACCAATTTTTTTCCCCTTTTTTTCTTTTTCTTTTTTTTTTTTAATATTAATTTAAAATGTATTTTGAGTCAAAAAGATATGAGAGTAAGTCCAGAATTGACTTTCTTGACTGATTTTACTTTCATTAGGTGATCTTTTGGAAAGAAGAGTACACTTAGTTTAACACCTTGAAATAGAAAGTATTAACTTGGAGTCTATGAAATTTCTCAGTCCTGTTATACTTATCCAAGCATCTAAAAAACAGCCTGGAAACAAACAACATGAGATAATTCATGTAAACGTAAGAAATTTAGATTAAAAACAGGCTCATAGGAAGGAGAGCAGAACCCAGCATTTCAGGAATGTCTTGCTTTCATCGTTCTTCACCGCTCCAAGACCTGAGGGCCCAAACCTGCGTGCTGCTGAGCACCTCCTGAGAAGTGGTGAGTAGTAGCTTCAGCTGCTGCTAAAAGCGGGGATTTCTTAGAAGCTCCTCTAATTTTGCTCTCAGAAGTACACAATTCATAGAACTGAAAAAAATAAATGGAAAATGTGATTTTAGCCTTGCTGCTACGACAAGACCAAGCCTTGTTAAAGGCAGTATAAACACAAAAGCTTTAGTTAGGGACAAATGCAGCATCAATTTATTGCTTTTAAACATAACTCGTGTTTTCTGGAGTTTAGAAATGTTCTGTGGCACTAACAGTTGAGCTTGTTTAATTAATGTCACTGGAAAATGCGGGAAAATGTTTTTTGTTATCTCAAAACCTCTAGACAATTTACAGATGCATATTTAAAATTCTGCTATATTTTTCTAGATGGTTTTCAAATTTAAAATATTTCTGTAACTTTTGTTCTAATTATTTCCAAAAGTGCCTTGCTTTTAAAGTGAACTCCACAAAAAACCTTATGAATACCTAGTTTTGTTTTACGTCTATACCTACCTAGCTTTGCCTCCTTTAAACACTTTGTCCATTAAGCTCTTCACTTTGCAACTGTCTCATGACATGCAACCCACCGCCCTGCCTTCTTACAAAGTTCAGCTGAGGTTTATGATTTCATAACGCAGAGAAGGCCTTTATCAAATGGTTAAATGACTGTAAGAAAACAGCACACTGCTCATGGAGGAGCCTGGGACGCAGCGGAAGGGGCTCCTGTCAAATGTACCGTGCTCCTTTTTTGGGGGCACACATAACAAGATGTTTGCATCTTTTAGCAAACACTGTGCAAATTGTGCACGCTCTGGGCAGCACTGTGTGGCCCTTCCTAGTGGCAGCACTCCACCTGCCCTGCTTCGTACCACCATTAATGTTTTGTCTCATCTGCAGATAGTGTGTGTGATGCACACTGTGTCAATAGCCTGATAACGCAGATGTCCCGTGGGAGATTTCCACTTCACAAAGCTCCCTATTGAAGTTCTAACAGCGTCAGGAAAATGGCTTTTAATTGAGGCAGCCTTGATGCTGTGCACTGGCTGCCTTCCAGTGAGTGCTTGTGTTAGTCCTGGGACACAAATGGGATTTACAGATCTGCAATGAATGGTGCATATGTGGAATCATAGAATGGTTTGGGTTGGAAGGGACCACTAAGATCATCTAGTTCCAACTCCCCTGTTATAGGCAGGGATACCTCCCTATCCATGTATGTTACATGTGTAACGGATGTGGAAAATGGTACCACGGTTCAAGTAACAGTGTAGGAGATCACTTAAAGGGAGTTTGAATTTTGAAGCAGTTCATAAGAACACTATTGGTTAATTTGGTTTCAAGCCTATATGTAAATCTAAATATTTCTTCAGTAAGATAAATGCTACTAGAAAAATGAATGGTTTCTAAAACACAGCTTTTACTGTCATCGTTTTTTATCTGTCTTTTTATAGAAAGGATCTTTGTGGGATCAGGTTCTCTAAACTGGAAATAAATGCCTGAAGTCAGAAGTGGAACCTATGAGAGAGCCAGTACCAGGAGCGACTCCGTGTAAGAGATCAGAGATGGTTGTCTGTGGCATTTCTGGCAATGACCATTATAATGTTTGGGCTGCTCCTTGCCCTGGCCTGTTCCACTGATGACCACCCAAGCTGTATTGGTTTGCGTATTGTGTATTGGTTTCCATATCCAGTCTCAGGGTGTCAGACTGACAAATAAAAAGCAGATTGTTTCCACCCTACTCTGCTGCTGGGGCTTTTCTCACCCCTGGAGGTGGTCTTTGAGATCCTGTGGCTTTGTCCTGGTTGCCAAGGTCAGATGAATGTGGAATCCGAATCCTCATGAATATCATTATGCCCCAGAATTTTCCCAAATTCCAAATGCCGGGACCTTTTCCAGTCCTTTGCAAGGCTACTCATCTTGAAAAATAAAATAAATTGGCAAATCTCCATTCCAATTCCAGAAGATAGAATCCAGGCAGCTCACAAAAATGTGAAAATATGCAAAGTAAACAGACTGTTTCTGACAGTAACAACCCTGCAATTGCATAAAGCATCATCAAATTGCAACATGCACATATTAAGCTTTGAGAACAACTGAATTCGCAGTGACACATTCTCTGCTCTTGAATTCATTATCACACATGCTCAGCTTGGAGATTTGCAGTATTGCACATTGTTCTCAAAGTCGGTCTCCAAAGGAACTCTCTATTATCAAGGTAATCTCATTTAGGTACAATTTTCTCAAGTTCTTGGTGAGCTGTAGGGAGAATTGTAGCAAGGGTGGGGCAAAAGGGTACCAAATAGAGGTAAGAGCACTCAAGCCCTTCTTTTGGTGCTGCTGCCTGGAAGATACACAGAGCAAATCTGTGAGAGGTATACTGGAAGGAGCTGGTGAAGGGCTAAAAGGATGTGTACTGCAATGTCCTGACACCCTGCTATGATCAACTGGGCTGATCCACATGCACTGTTCCCTTTATGATGGATACTTTATTAAGTAGAAATTCTTAGGGAAAACAAAACGAAACAAAAACAAACAAAATCATCTCATTCACTGTGCAAATGGTAACAGTAAAAAGAGAGAGATAAATACTTACAGACATTAAAGCTGGGCTGTCATCCCCCCTAATAAACATCCTAATAAATTTTCAGTCAAGTACAAAGAAGTACGTACACTATGACAACGATACAGTTTGACTCTGGCCATTCTGCTGGGGATTCCTTAAATCAACATACTAATGGACACTCTTATGGGCATTTTTAATAGTCTAATATATTATCAGGATGTAGAATTTTCAAGTATTTTTAATTGATGTGGCTTCTGTTAGTTCTACTGGACAGTCTGTTAAAGTATTTTTCCACTTATTCTAAGGAAATATATACATGCAGATGTGCATTTTTTGCTGGTCAGTAGACACAATTAATGCATATATAAATAATTTTTTATGGTTGTCTTTTCCAGAAGTAGTTATTTTTGTTATGTTTAGAATCCGAGAGCTCTCTTGTAATAATATTTATTTAAGGTCAGAATAAAGGTTATGCTATGGTAGAATACATTCTCTATAAAACACACATGCTAAAGCAGCACACAGTTTATTATCTATTTACATTTGTTTCCTTGATCTTATAGAATTGATATTTGAAGATGCGAAAGTTGATGCTCTATTTATTAAAAATAATTTGAGCTGTTAAAGGGTTTTCATTTTTGTTTGGCTTCACTCTAATGTGCTTATTTACAGAACTCATTTCTTCAGTTCTCATGGATGCATTAAATTTCATCTTCCAACAAGAACATCACTTCCTTTCCAGATAGGCACCATGCTGTCATAGCAGGGGCTGCAGCACAGCCACAGCCAATAACAGTTGCAGACTGATGGATCTCCATGTGGTAGGTCTCCCCAGGTCCTGCAGAAGGTGTTGGGCAGAGGGCAGTCACCTGAGCACTGCTCTGAGGGGACATCGGGGCAGTGAGGGAAGCAGAGCTGCCAGTGGGACCAGCAGCACTGCCTGCCAGCATGTGCCCTGCCACATCTTCTCTGCACAGTCAGATATATATATACCTATATGCACACACAAAAATATATATACACATATCCAGCCGCTGCCTACCTATACCTCAGTGCCACAGAGTGATGCTGAGCACCTCTTCTATGCATCAGCAATGGGCAGTCAAAGAGACCCAGGTATGTTTTGATAAGGACTAAGGAATATAATCGGTGTCTTTTCCTTTGCCCCAAACTGTACATTATAAATCACCAGGGCTGACTGTCAAGAAAAGTGTTTTGCTGCATCTATGCTTGATGCTTATGTACTGAGATACCATTTCCAGATGACTGTCTGAGAGGACAGCTCAGATACCCACCGACAAATGAGACTTGCATTTGTTGTAGTATTCTAGCTCCTATTAGCATTCAAGAGGCTTTTTGGCAGTGTACTCGGTGTACTCACTGGGTCTGCAGTGAACTGTTCTAGTCCATGATTCAAATGATTATCAGCAATAATAGCATTTCTGAAGCAATAGCACTTCAGTAGAAAGACAAAGACCTATTCAAAGAGCATGCTGCACAGTATGGGCTATATTTTGTAACTATTCCTTCTCACATAAATGCTTCTTTAATCTTTGGGCCAGCTGTGCTCTCGTGTTAGCACAGGTCTTCCATAGTGTGATAGAACAAGCATTTAGCTCCATCCATCAATACTTTAGAAGCATACTTGCACCCATGCACCCTCATGCAAGCTTTCTTACAGTGGATGACTTGCTCCTTGGTCAGCAAGTGCCAGCATGTGCAGACCTGTCAGAACTGGGCACTGCATGAGCCTGGTGCTTAGCAGAGCCCAGCTGCAGAGAGGAACCTGCTGTCCAGGAACCAGGAGAGCAGCTGTGCTGATGGCAGGGTAGTGGGAGCAGGTGGGGTGGATTACCCAGATCAGGAGCTACATAATGGCTAGGGGCCAGGGTGGCTCAAGGGTGGTTTTGCTCTGTATGTGAGGGACTCTGTGCTGTTTTGTTAGTTCTCAGGTAATCACTTCTTTTATGAGGTTTCCATTTTTGTCTTTTGTTTGTAGTTTTGCTCTGGTGCTGATAATAAGGGGTGCTTTAGTATGGGCCTAGGGTAAGGGCTCTTGTCCTGTGGGAACTGAAGGGCTGTATCTCTTATGGGGTTTCTGGAAGAAGAGTGAGAACCTATGCTTTTTCCCTTGGCAGATGTCTCATTTTGCGTTCTAGCACTAACTGGCTTGACTGACAGTGTTTCTGGTTTGCTATTTGTGAGGTGCTCAGTACTCTCTTTTCTTGTATGCTAAAGAAGGTAGAGTGAGACTTGATTGACTAGCTCAGTAAAGTAAAGCTCAAGAAAGAGACCTGTGAAGTGTACACTAGGGCTGTCTCTGTGTCAGCCAGCACAGCTGACCGAAGTGGAAGCTGTCATGAGAGAAACACACCTTGACTGTTAGTTATTACAATCTATGGGAGATCCCTGAGTAGGTGAGGGCTAAGCCTTGAGACTGGGTAATACAGTAGTGTTCCTCAAATGGAAAGAATGAAAGCACTGTGTTGTCTTTCTTTCCACAGCTGTCATATACTGCTGTTACTTTGAAAACTTAGTTATTTTTTAATTTTTTAATCTTAGGAGGTAGTTATGAAGAAGGCGAATGAGGAAGCGCTCCTGCTGGGGGACATAAAGCTGATATTTTGTTGCCAGGAGAAATGTGTGGTGAGTAACAGGATCTGAGCTCTTCTACTTTGTATTTACTTTCATTTTCTGTAGTAAAGTATGCACAAGTAAGTCAAATGTATCTACTGTTCCTGAAGGCATAATTAAAAACAGTGGGTCTCACAGAAGCTCTTTTCATTACCATTCAGTGGTAATAGATGTTTATTGACATCAAAACCAGAAACTACACCTGAAGTAAAGTTACAACTGCAGAAAAGGTGTTTGAATGCATCAGTTAAAAAAAAAAAAACAAACTCTAAAAAAAATTATTTCAAACAGGAGAAAAAATGAATAAAATGGGGAAGTCAGCAGATGGAAAAATGTGCAGGAATTTAAGAGCTGCATAGAAAAAATAAAAATGTACTGAATAAGAAAGGGAAAAGAAACATAAAAACTGAATGGCAGTAAGAAAAAAAAAGGGCCAAATTGTCCACTGTTATAAATGTGCACAGAATTATAATTTGTTTGCAAAGGTCTGGACTTTTTCTACAGCGAACTCAGATCATGGGAAGATATAGCCTAGATCTGTTCTTTTTTAAGTGGACTGAAGTTAGGGTTTGGGGAAGTTTTCCAATCCTTTTCTGTGCTGCCTTACTAGTGGGTATGTGTTTGAGGCCTCGGTGCTTTTAACTGAAGATGAAAAGAGTTATACAATGAATATCTTGGGCAAAAGTTTTCTTGGTATTCATTGAGAACTTTTAGGGTGGAAATGGGGAAACAATGAAGTGATATCCACAGAACATCTGGAGAAATCAGGTGAGTATTTGACCAGAAATACTGCATGCTGCAAAGATGCACGCTCTTCTGTGATGCCAGTGATTAGTAATAGAACTTGCGAGGTCTGATTGATGGTTGGACTTGATGGTATTGAAGATCTTTTTCCAACATAAATGATTTTATGATTCTGTATTATGGCATTTGTCCTCATGTTATGACTTTGCTGTCTTTATTTATGAAGAATGCAAAATTAACTGGTTACTGAAAACCAAGTATAAGCTGAAATAAGAATGCCTAATACTGTTTTGGAATACTTTGAGAGGTGAGGGGGGAAATTCATTGTAGGTCTTAAAACTTATTTTGCTAGATCTTTTAAAGGTTTGGCAATCCTGGCAGTATTTAGTTTGTGTAGTAGTAGGAAGGCAGATTCTATCCATTAGGAAAAAAGACAGACAAGTGTATGCTTTCCATGGTATTTATGAATAATTAATCATAGAATTACTTGGGATGGAAGGGACAGCTAACATGACCCAGTTCCAACTTCATGACATGGGCAGGGCTGCCACCCACCAGATCAGGATGCCCAGGGCCCCATCCTACCTGGCCTTGAATGCCTCCAGTTGTGGGGCACCCACAGCCTCTCTGGGCAGCCTGTGCCAGTGCCTCACTGTCTTCTGAGTAAAGAGTTCCTTCCTAACATCTGGTGAATTGTTGACCCAGTTTACATCAGTGGAGGATGTGATACTATTTTAATGTTATCTCTGACAGGATTGCTGTTTGCTGAAATTAATACTCTCAGGAGATACTTAAACTTGATTCCATTTCTTAACGTTATTTACAACTCTGAGCTTGAAGAGGGGGATGAGAAGAAACCAGATCAAGTCCTCTATTAATCTGCAGGTGTGACGAATGTCTTTTGATCATGAGAGACCCTTGTTGCCAGCTTTGTTTTTGTTGAAAACACTCAGTGGGAAGAGATACTTCAGACGCTTTGTTCTGTTCATGTTAACTGTACCCTTGGTGAAGTCAGTGTAAGTTGCATAATCAGTACCAAACCTTTGATTAGAACCTGTGAGCAGTCGTCTCCATTTTCTGATGTATTTAGGAAAAGTTGCCTGATGCTCTTTAAATGTGCATAAAAAGAAATTCCCAACACAAAGAATTTGTGTTCTTAATGACCAAAGCAGAAACTAAAAAAGGAATGCAGGGAATAGGTTGTCTTTTTTAGGGTAGAACCTGATTTAGAGGGAGATGCAGCAGTGTGGATGAAGCCCTGAAACTAAGCGGCTGGAAAACCTCTCTTCCTTGAGTCTCACAGCTGATTGCTGAGTCATGCAGCCAGGACATAACAGCTATGTCCTCAGAGCGGGTCCTCCATAAATTGAAATTCAGTCTGATGGTTGCTATCCATTTGATTGATGTTAGTGACAATAACTGGTAGCACTGAGCTGAGTTTTCTTCTCCAAAATATTCCTAGTTTCAAGCATCTGGGACAGCAAGTACACTGTTCTGGATATATAATAAGGAAAGGGGAATAATGTTCAGTATCAGGTGGGAAACTATATTTACTCATTGAAAGAATACTTCAGTTTAAAGTATATAAGGCTTTAGGTGCTGAAGACATGGAAGACATTCATTTCTACCTTGAGCACCCAGTGAAATACAGAGGATAAGTAGCAGAAGTTGGTGTGTTTAGCTTTGAGGTGATGGTGGGCACTTTTTTGTCATAGAGTGGAAGCACCTTAGTGATTAAGAATTTTTGATTTAGATAAAGAATTAATTGCGCAACTTTCTTTGTGGTGTTATGTGCAGAAATATTTTAGATGTGTTTCAAGCCACTGCAGGCCAGTAGTGGTTGTGATTGAACAAGTTTTTTGAGTTGCAATGTAGTATATAACAGTCATATCTCAGACTGATGAATTGGTTAGGATAAGGAATGTGTATGCATCGTACTTCAAACAATTTAAAAATAGTATTGTGTGGTAATGAACCAAGTTAGTCTCTTCTATTACCTGCCTTATTAGAGTAATAATGTGCAGATCTTGTTTCACAATACTGCTATAACATTTTTTTGACATGTAAATTCACTGAAGTTCTTCAAGTTTGTATTGATTTTTATAAAAAAGAATTGGTTTATTTGACCTACCTTACTTCGATTTTATTTTTTTCCCCTCCAGGAAAATCAATATAATAAAATAATTCTTTCCTGCTGCACTTTTCTTCACTAAGCTCTGTTGAGAACAGTCAGAAAATCTTTCCTTCAATTATTTCAGACTTGTTTGTATTAAATCCTTTCAAAGGGACCCATGTAAATGTGCTACTCTAACAAGGACATCTCCCTATGATAGAAGCTAAATAAAATTTTACATTTAAGGTGAGTAAGAACCAGTTATGGAGAAAATTGTTCAATATATGTTCCACCCTAATTTCTTTTTCCATGCAAAAGCTGCTGCAGCTGTAAAGTAGGAGAGGAGTTTAACAATACAGTATGCATAATTCATGCTTTTGGCCTTCTGTCTGCCTTTTTCTGGAATCCTACATATTTAGATTAAGTAAAATTATTCTTGCCTACTATCAATACAGTTTGTTTTCAAGGAATATAATGCAACATATAACAGACACTACTTGGAACAAAATACCATTTTCAGTTCTGCATGACAGATCCTGGCTTAACATTCTTGGAGTTCTGTATCTTAGAATAACGGGGCTTTGAAAAGAGTTTTTCTCTATATTGTAGTGATTCGCTTAATATTCAGTAGAGTTTTAGATGACTTTTCACATAGTTATTTTCAAAGTTTTGCCAACTGTTAGTTTTGATTAAAGTTCAATTTTACTGCTGCTCATTATTGATTTTAAAAATAATCTATTACTTCAATGCTTTAGATGTTATTTCCATGACCAAAAGCCATTTTCTGGATGGGAGCCTTGCCTTCCCAGCAGAAGAAATGTGGTTTTTGAGATTTCACCACCAAGTATCTTAAATCTCATAGCTTTTCAAGTCAATAATTCAAATCAACGTGCCTTGAAAAGATCAAGGTAAATTATGGACTCTTGGCTTTTGGATTGAAAGTGCTGGGCCTCCTTTTTAGATTGAATTGGTTCTAATGTTATTCAATTTTTTTTTCTTTTGCCTACCCATCTTTTGCTGGAAATAGCTTTGTAAAAACCCAAAATGAAACCAACTACAGCTTTGAAACATTAGAACTAAAAAAAAAAAATGCCCATATAATATTGCCAGTTTGTAATTATACAATATAAATATATATTATACAAAATGAAGTTATACTCTCTAGTTGAAATGTGAATGTTTATCACTTTCTTTATGCTGGTGTTCTGAGTCTTTGTGGTGCTTTTTGAGACTTTTCAGCCTTCAGCTGAGTTCTAAACTTTTATTTAGAATATTATTTATTTATTATAGTATTTATTATATTCCATTCAACAAGGCTGAATTTCTCATTAAGCTTTTCCATAGTGAAGCTTTAGGAATAACACTGGCTTACTCATTGCAACTGAATATTTGAATTACTGAGTTAAAGAATAATTCAGATTCTCCCAGTTGCTTATACTGGGGAGCAGAGTGTGTCAGTTTGAGTGTCGCAGCTGGAACTGATTCGGTCTACAGATGCACCTGTAGAGGTGTTCTTCCCAATACTTTCCAGATGTTTCAGTGCTCCCCTCCTGCTTCAGTTCATGCTTATGGAAAGAAAATGGAAACATAAATATTCCTGCACTTGTAAAATAAAGCAGAAATTCTCCATCCTTGGAGTACTGTAGCTGTTAGTGTTTCAGGCGTTGTAAGCTAGAGCTGGAAGATGGCTGGGAGGAGACTCTCCACTCTTAAAAATGTGAAATTTGCCTTTATCTCTCTGAAAATACTTAACAAAAGACAGGAATTGGTCCCTGATGGTTAATTCACTGTCACAGACAATACCAGCACATCCTTCCTGAACTGTTTTTATTTACCCATACTATTACTTGAAAAGAATAATACTGTGAGTGCAACTTCCCTAGTGGTCTCCTATTTCGATATAGATCCAAAGTCTGAGTTTGAATCAAAAATCCCAAAGTGCAAGTTCTCTTGGGTTTGTCTGCAGTTATTTATATGTCCTAGCAAATGAAATCCAGTGCTGTATCAATTGTTTTATGCATTGCAATAGTGTATTTTGGTTGCAACATCCAAATTTCTAGGAAGACTGTCTATGAAGCAACCATTCTCTATTGGGGTCGGGACTGTTTTTGTAGGAACTCGTTTACTGGTTTGCATAGGCTAAGGCTTCATAGCA